ATTTTTTTTCCTCTAAACTAACACATAACAATTACATAAGGTCACTAATTATAGGGATAATTGCAACAACGGTCCAAATATTTTAATTTTTCGCAAACTTTACCTTAACCTTCACATTGTCCCACCCACAACCCCAAACCTTTGAAAAAGTAGCACCTAAGGTCTAAACAGTTGAATTTTTGTTAGTTGACCAAAATTGGTAAGATGGTAACTTTGAAGTAAAAATGAAAAAACAAAAAATCAAAATCCAATCACAACTCATCTTCTCCCTCCCACACCCCATCTCCTCTTAAACCCAGAACCAGTTGGTCCCCCTCTCCACCACCACCACGACCTCCGTCGTCCTCCTCCATTGACTTTGCTACTTTTCTCATCAACATCTCCTCCCTAGTTCTTCCCTCCTCTTCTTCACACCCCATCAAATCTGTTTCTCATGTTACTTGGTCAACGTCAATTTTGCTTTTGCTGAAAAAATATAGGTTTTTGTTTACCCCTCATCACCTGCTTTCAACCATCGACCAAAGCCTCCACCATTCCCCTACTTTCAGCCATCGCCAAAAACCATAAACCAAAATCACCACCATTCCCTTGCCTTTCATTCACAGGTGAAATACACTACCATTCTCCTGCCTTCAGTTGCCCATCAAAACACCTCAAAACCCCATCAACACCATCAAAATGACAGTCGAAACTTTGTGAAAAGTAAAAGTATCTTGACTAGCTGTAGCCACCATCAATTCACAAAAAAAATGGTAGAATTTTTGAGATTAAATAGAAAAAATTAATGATAGATTAGGTGAAATTACCTCATCTTTTGCCATTGTTATGTCAAAATCAAAATTAAAAAGTTGTAATTTTCCTTAATTTGGAATTTTGGATAATTGACCACCACTTTGGGTATGTTGAAGTCCTTTCCACAGGCTTATGATGGTTGGTTTGTTTGGGTGAGAGGACAATTTTTTAGCTTTGATTGGGAGGGGTGGGATGGGTTTGGGGTGGGCATAGGAAAGAAGATGGTTTGGTCATATGGGTTTTCATTTTAATTTTTATACCTTATTTTATGTATAAAACCATCCATTTGGACCTCAAGTGCTAATTTTTTTAAAAGGTTTGAAATTATGAGTGGTACAAAATCAAGGTTAAGATAAAGTCTACAAAAAATTGAAAGGTTTAGAACTGTTATTGCAATTATTCCTTGACTTTCGACTAAGCAGTTTTTATCAAATTGGTTACGTTTGATGATAGAGTGGTAAAATTTGGAACTCCTTGAATTTCAATGAGCCAATGTTTATGCATTTTTTCAAAAATTATTTTCACTCATATATATTTTCATAAAATAATATTACATATAAAAGTATTTTTTTAAAAAAATTTTAACTCCCCCCCACCCCCCACCCCCCCAAATTTCATTAAAATGTCACCAAACATGACTAAATTGAGACAAATCAGAGTTTCATTATCCAATTAAAAGTTCAAAATTTGAAAACAAGAAATTAACCCATAAAGTAGGGAGGTTCAATCCAAACCATCAAAATTTAAGGGTTGAAAACCTTAAATATAGTTTGGAGCCCCCCCTTACGCACCCGACATATTTCATTCCGCCGTCCACAACATTCAATCCACGTACCCCACCTCCGTCTCCTCGTAAACTCCGTCTTTTCAAATCCTTTCCACACCTCCATGCTGATATTTTGCACCACCACCATCACCAATGAAAAGACCCACCACCCGCCACTGGTCTGCTCCTAAATTTAAGCCAAGACCACCGTCCATAAACAGTCATTCTCCTAACGGCGTCGTCACAAAGCACAAAGACTCTTCAGATATGAAGAAATCATCATCTTCCTCTGCTAAAAACTTTTGTTCTTGCCTTGGTAATGCACATTTCTTGAAATGGAGGGCCGGTGACATATGTGGTTTGGTGGTGCACCACCCCGTACCCTGCGTCTTCGCTGCCTCATTGCTGTTTTTCATGGCGGTTGAGTACACTCTCGCATGGTCCCGCCCACCGCGCCGCCGTTTGATCTAGGGTTTATTGTCACCAAAAACCTCCACCGGTCACTCGAATCTCGACCCGCGCTCAACACGATTCTGGCTGGCCTCAATACGTTATATGTGTAAACATACTCATCTTAGTTTATCTTTGGTAAAATTCTTCGTTGATTATAAGTTGTGGATGATAAAATCTGTAGATCTTACATCATATGTCGTTAAAAATAATTACGAATGATCAACTTATAAACCAGAAAAATCTTTAACACTGGGAGCCATATGGAGAGGAAGCCATTGGTGTGAACAAACGCCTAGTGAGGAGAGCTCTCTTTGCGGAAAGAGTCCAAATGAGTTGTGGGAACCTGGGAGCCAATAAGGGCACATCCTGCAATTTACCTCCCTGAGCTGCTGAGGGGCCGGAGGTTCAGGGACAAGGATCTAGTCGGACGCAAGCCCGGATACCTTGTAAAAAAAAAAAAAAAAAAAATTTAGGGTGCGTTTGGTTTGCATTTTCGTTTTCTATTTTCATTTTTAAAAACGAAAAATATTTTTTGTTTTGAGGAACTATTTTCAAATTACAGAAAACGTGTTTGGTGTCATTTTGAAAAACAGTTTCTTAAAACAGAAAACTAGAAAATGTATTTGATTTAAAATTTTTAGAAATTGTTTTATGACATTTATTCAATTAAAATGATTATTTAGTAAAATATAATAATTTTATGTTAATATATTACCAGTTAATATATATTTTAAACTTGGGGAATTTACTATTTTTCTTGCTACAAAAATAAAATAATAAATAATAAATGTTTAGACATTGTTTTATGATATTTATTTAATTAATTTGATTATTTAGTAAAATATAATTATTTTATGCTAATATATTATCGGATAATATATATTTTAAACTTGTTGAATTTACTATTTTTTCTTGCTACAAAAATAAAATAATAAATAATAAATGTTTAGAATTTTTTTATGACATTTATTCAATTAATTTGATTGTTTAATAAAAAATAATAATTTTATGCTAATATATTACCAAATAATATATATTTTAAATTTGGTGAATTTACTATTTTTTCTTGCTACAAA